AATTCGATTCCATTGGTTTATCTATTAAAGATTCACTTGTTTATTATGTATACAGTGTTCTACAAGAAGAGGGCACCACATCTCACTATAGATGGCTGTGAGCCACGATATGGTTGCTGGTAATTGAACTCAGGACCTCTTGGAGAGTAGCCAGTGCTCTTAACCTCTGAGCCATCTCTGTAGACCTGAAATAGAACATGTCTGAGCACTATATATAGGAGGAAAGTATCAAAATCATACATATAGGTGAAAGAATGTTCTAGGAAAACTTTTTAAAGTCATCTGTGAAGCAATATAAGAACCAATTAGGGATTTGATGGATTTACAATTATAAGTACAATTGTTGCTGCCAAGAGTGCCAAGATATATATATCTAGGACTCCAAAATTAATTTGATCTGCATCATGGTTTGTGCCACCAAAGTAATCTTCCATAATGTATATACAATTCCCACCCTGCTGCGAAAGAGCCTATCACTGATTACACAAGTCATAAGGAATGTTACTCTTCATAAGAATCCTTTTTTCTTTGGCAAAACAAATTTATTTCATTATACATACTAGCTCCAGTTCCCCTCTCTCTCCTTCTCCTCCCCCTTCCATCTACCCTTCATGCTACCCTCCATACACTCCTCAGAGGGGGTAAGATCTCCCTTGGGGGAGTCAACAAAGTCTGGTATAGCAAGTTGAGGCAGGACCAAGCCTCTGCCCCCTAAATAAAGGCTAAGCAGGATATCCCACCATAGGAAAGGGGCTCCCAAAAGCCAACTCAAGTCCCTGGGGTAGGTACTGGTGCCACTGTCAGGGGCACTCCCCACATATCAAGTCACAAAACTCTATGTAGGTTCCCCAGATGTCATTCCACAGTCCATAAGCTCCCACTAGCTCAGGTCAGCTGTCTCAGTGGTTTTCCCATTCATGACCTTGATCCTCCCTTGTTCATATGATGCCTCCTCCCTCTCTTCAACTAAGCTCCAGGAGCTCAGCCATCAGTTACTATGTTCAGGATTTATGATGACAATGAGGGTAGTCACTAATCTGATTATAATGGTAACCCAGTTCAGGCACTCTCTCCACTATTGCTTGGAGTCTTAGCTATGGTCATCCTTGTGGATTCCTGGAAGTTTCCCTAACATCTGGTTTCTCCCTAACCCCATAATGGTTCCTTTCTCAAGATAGAGATTTCATTGTTCCCCTCTAGATTCCTCACACAAATTGACCATCTAGAGCCTTCATGTTCCCATCCTCCATCCTCTCCCTTCTACTCCCCTTCTTGGTTTACCCAGAAGATTTTAACTATTTCTCTTTCCTGAGGTCCTCCTTGTGTGTCCCTCTTTGAAAATTTGACTATGAAATTACTTGATTCACAAATATGGGTTTTATTCAACAACATTAATTGGCAATGATTGTTATTTTGAAATTAGATGTACATGTTGGACATGTATGTTTTGTGAAGGAAGACATGACTTATGTCAGTCTATATTTCAAATATTTCATTTGGACAGTTGCATGATCATGAAAACCTATCTATATAAAATTCACTAATAAACTTTGGAAGAAACTCAATATTCAACACTCAATGTTCTCTTCCAAATACTCCTCAATAATACCCACCATTTATGGAGCACCTACTCATGGTGCATACTCTACAAAGGGTACAATTTTATCCATAACAAGAATTTCTTAGATGTTGCCATAGACTGTGTATCATAACCATCATTTTACAGAACATGCCAAGATTTAGAGAGGATGATTATTTGTTTCAGATACCTGTTGTTGCCACCTTTTGTCTCCTCTATGAGGAAAGGATGGAAGCTATGCTAGTACTGTTAATAATGTGAGTTTTTTCCTAAGTCAGCATGTTTGGTTCAGAAATGTTCTGAATTACTTTTATGAATTTGACATTAGAAATTAGAAATTCCAGATAATTTGCCCAAAATACTTAAATTTTGTCAGAAAGAAGTTCAATATCTTTTGGAAGACATTCCATCAGCTAGGAGCAGTAGAGAGAGCTGATCTGAAAACACAGACAACCTTGTTAAGCACAGGAGACAGAATACACATTTTGAGAGGAATTTGGGTTTTTATGGAAAATGTAAGGTCAATTTTATTCATTTGGTGTTTCCTTCATTTGAGAAGGATCAAAGGAAACTGTTTTGTATTTTAGAAAACAGGATACTGAATAATAACTTCCTAGTGCACAAACGAAGTGTCCCATTTACTATGCTGTTACTTTCATAATTACTGCTGATAGCATTAATAAGGAAGTGATATACTTACTATGGGCTCCAGGTTGATGCTTGCATGTATTACTATCATTATCATTGAATTTGGTTGTTTTCTCTACAATACATTTAATTTATTTCAACATAGTTATATGTTTAAGTTTTGTCTTATTCTGTAAAACAGAAAAAAATTAAGCTGACAATAAAAGATCCACTGTATCTAGCACTTGCATATTACTCTATATTGTTATTATTATTATTGAAATTAACTCATTAGTTCATATTTTTTGAGGATGTACCACATTAAGTTTGATTGCTTAAAGTTATAAAATGACTGAGAAAAATTCCTTATTTATAAAATTTCAGAGGTTTAATAGCAAATAAATGATATGATGAGGTAAACAGTCTTCCTGAAATACAAAACATTTCATCTAATGATATGTGCTCTCCTGAAAAACACAGGCCATCCAGGTTATCCACTCTAATTAACAGAAAAGAAATCTACAAATCCTGACAATTGCAAATTGTCATAAACTAATCATAAATTGTCTTGTAGTTCTCAATTGTGACTAATAAACCCTAGCGTTTCAAATTTCTATTGTATTGTCTTTTTAATACAGAATTTGTTAGGCAGTCATTCCTGCTATGTATTACACTGGTATTATCTTAATATATTCCATATGGGATATCATATGTAGATCCTCATTTATATCATCAAGTGTACTTAATGCTGACATTCAATGCAGCAGATGCATATGTTTTACATCTCTTCGTGTGAAATGAGGGAATCTGCTTATTAATTGATGATGCAATACCCTGTGTTGAAACAAGAATTTGATCAGCCTGTATAACTAATGACAGCCACCTAAATGACCAGTTGGCATCATTAAACTTACCAACAGTAATACTATCATCAATTCTAATTAAATTCTAAGTATGCCCGTCACCAACATGTAAACACATTCTAATTGGGAAGTACTATCATGAGTGAAGCTAATGGTGCCAAGTTGGCCATTTAAGTGATTTAGTAGTTTATTGGGACATCACTTGGCTTGAAGATACTATTTATTCTAGCTCTTGCATTTGTTGTGGTTGAGAATAATCATGGGATAAAGTTTAATAGATTAATGCATGGTAGCATCATGAACTTATTTAATGAATTTATTTATGAGCATTGGTATTTTCAGAAATAGTGCAATAATATAGCTATTACATTGAAATTAGTAAGCCTTACATGAATACTAGGCAACATGGAGTATATGTGATAACATTGTTGAGAGTCTATATTTACAGAAATTAGTTTCATTGTGAGGTAGCAAGAAAATTTGAGAAATCCATGTAGACTTCTTATATTTTCATATTTTTTCTCAACATCTAGAATGTAGTATCAAACACAAAGTAGTCTGTCAAATAAATGCATAGATAAACCTCAGAAATAGGACAAGGAAAATATTATTTATTGTGTTTGATCATCTAAATAAGGGATCACTTATCAAACATTAACAGATTTAAAGTTTTATAATATCTAGTATTTATTTACTTTTTTACTGTATAATTTCATTATTCATGTAACAATTATAATCACCCATAATTTTAGACAGAAATTTCTCTAATTGGATTGTTACTTTTTCTATAGCTTTAATAAAATACTGTGACAAATCATCTTGATTGTGAACAGGTTTGTTTTGCTTGAGTCGGGGGTTACAGTCCATCATATGGAGAAATCACAGTATCAAAAGCTTCAGGTAGATAGATGATCATATTGTATCCATAGTCTACCAGCAAAGAGTGTAAATGTCCCCTTTATACACAGTTCAAGGAATGATGCCACTCATGGTCAGTGAGTCTGCCTGTTTCAATTAACCTAATCAAGATTATCCCTAGCAGGCTTGTCATAAAAAAGGTAACAAGTGCCATCACAGCTCTCTCTTGCCAGCTTGATAACCAAACACATTAATTTAAATCTTAGTTTTCCAATCCTTATCCCCAAAACCTGAAGTTCATATCATAATGTGAATTAAAGTAAATCTTCAAGAGTCCACATTTTATGGGGGAAGTTCTTGTGTGTATATGTTGCCTTATTGGTTTATTAAATAAAGCACTGATGGCCAATAGGAAAGTAAGATAGGTGTGACTTTGAGTTGATGAGGATTGTGGGAAACAGGGTCACAGTGAGTCACTATATAGGACACAGAAGAAGTAAGAGGTCTGGACCCTTTTCTCCAGTAAGAAAAGACCACATAAAAATACTCAGATTAGCAGTTATGGGTTAATAATTAATTCAGAGCTAGCCAATAAGAAACCAAGCAAATGGCCAACAGCTTCATAATTAATGTAGTGCCCTGTGTGTTCATTTGGGTCCGACACGGCACTGGGACTAGGCTGGTGGGAAGAATGCACATTACACACATTGTCTTTAACATTTCCTAAGGTTTAAAGGTCTAAAGCCCACACCCATCTGAGACTCAGGGCAATCTCTCACCTGTGAATATAAAGTATAATACATGTAATATAATTCCAGCATGAGATGGCTCAGAATAAACATTCCCAAACCAAAATGGAAGAATGTGGAAATAGAAAGAAATGGCCAAACTAAAGCAAGAATGAAATGCATCTGGAGAACATAAACCCAGAGGCTCCATATGTGACATCTGTGGCTTGTAATAGAATCCCCCACAGCCTCATATAATGGCCTTGGGCCTCCCTTCAGTGGCTTGGACCCTTCAACCCATTGTTGATGAAAGCAGTTTTCTAGAATTCTGTTAACATTCTGACCTGTGGATGAGACTACCTTGATGCGGGAAGTTCTCCTCTACATATGTTTCTCTTATTTGTTGATTACTGTGGAAATATTAACCTGCACAAAGTGAGGATGTCCTATGATATTTTATTGAGGGAGAAGTCACTTACATGAGAAGCCAAGAAAGCTGAGAACCAAAGGTCTGCACATTGCTCTCCAAGATGTGACCAGAACCCAAATGGAGAACATCTCCTTCCTCCCAGCTCTTTTAACCCCCATATGTTCAACATGCCTGTGACCACTGCTGCGGGTATGTAAGATCTCTTCCTACAGTTGATGAATAAAACACTGATTGACAAGCAAAGGCAGGAAGATAGGTAGCACTAGGATATGAGAGAATGCAGCCGGCAGTTACATAGATTAGTAGTTACAGGAAAATAAGTAAGAGAGAACTAGCCAGTAAGAAGCCCTGGCCATCAGCCCACAGTTTATAAATTAATGTAAATCTTTGTGTGCTTATTTGGGGCAAAGCTATTGTGGGCCCAGGAAGGAAAGAAATTCTACTGGTTCTGCTCACAGTTCAGTGTGTGGGCTGATTCCCTTGGTCACTCTGCATCAGCTTCTATGTGTTGCCACAGAGGAAAGCTTTCATGGGCAGGCACCGTTGAGTAGCAGGAAATTCTTTCAGACGGAGCCTGAGATGTTCCGGTTCTCCATTAGCACAACTTTCCTGCTATCCAGTGCAGTGTGGGAAAATTCCTTATGTAGTGTTATCGATTTAACAACTTTGCCTGCTTCGTGAGCTCCCCGTTGAAGGCTCCCCTCTCGAAATTTCTTCTGTCAAACAAATCAGTCTACCACTTTTAAACCCAACGTTACTAAGTTCCCATGACACAGAAAGTTTAAGTTAGGGATGATGAAAACCATATTCTTGTAATAGTCTAGCACATGGTTCCTGATGGAGTTAGAGATTTCCTCTGAAACTTCTGCCATGCCTTTGAAGTCCACTGTTTTCTCTTTATTCTTCTCTTCCCAGTCCCCTTTTCCAAATGCCACACTAAGACCGTCTTACAGCATGCAAGGTCTTTTGTAGCCCAATGTCCCAGTCTCTTCCAGATCACTATCAAAAGCAGACCAGTGCCTGCTGGAAGCAGAGACAGCCCTGAATACCTGGGTAAACATATTATTTTGTTGTGGTGAGGCCATGTCAACGACCGCATGCCTCAGACACAGGGAAGAACAGCAAACCTTCCTCCCTCACTTGAACATAATAGCAATGGCAAAACCTTCCTCTGGTGTGTGTGTACATACTGATAGTGTGCAGAGAAAAGGTTCTCTCCTATTTCTATCTAGATATTGATGACCTGAACACTTCTCTCCTACAGAGACCACTGCTACCAACATTAACTACAACCGTCTCCTTGATCCAGTTGTATAAATAAATCCTGACTACTTTTTGTTTGCATGGAATAACCTCACCTTGTTTAGCTGAATGTATTACCTCTCTGCTCCAGTTCAACTCTACACAATAAACATGTCGAGCTTCTGGGGTACTGTAGTTTCTCCAGTCAAGAGCAGATAGATCATCAAACCTAGTGCTCACTCTGTCTCTGTCTCTGTCTCTGTCTCTGTCTCTGCCTTTGTCCTTCATCTCTGTCTCTCTCTGTTTCTGTCTCTCTCTCTCTGTCTCATGTGTATGTGTGTATGTGTGCATGTGTGTGCCTGTATCCTGGTCTGTATCCTTGTCTTCATTCCCACCTTCCACAATGTATCTATGGAAGATCACACAAGTTCAGTCCAGTCAAAATTCCAGTGTGATGGGGAGGGTCTCACAAGGCCCTACTAAAAGCTGTTGCATTGCTGATGTCTTGCAGGAGGAAGTTATTTTTATTTGGGATTTGCCTCCCTGTTTAAAAATTACATTTTCAGCAATTAATTTTATACCTCAGAAAGATGACAAAACACTTCAATACTGAAAAGAAATCATGAAACTGCATTGATATTATATAGGTCCCAACAAAATATTGCAAGCAAACACCTAGGTATCTCATTACCTGTCCTCTCTGTAGCTCTGCCTCTTTTTCTCTGTGTCACTCTCACTATGTAGTAATGAACATTGAATCCAGAACCTTGCATATACCTAAGTGAATGCTCTACCACTTTTTTACACTATATAAGCTATTTTTTCATGTTGTTGGATTCTAATTATTGAGTTTTCTGGAGCATAACTATGTCTTTGAGATGACCCCTACTTTAGGAAGTCTCCCACTAAAAGTGTGTGGGGTTTAATGTGTGATTTGAGTTCTAGTAATGTTTCTTTTGCAAATGTGGGTACTTTTGTATTTGGGGCATAGATGTACACAATTCAGACATCATGCTGATGGACTTTTCCTATGATAAATACAAAATGACCTTCTTTATCTCTTTTGATTAATTTTAGTTTGAAGTCTATTTTGTTAGATATTAGGATAGCTACACCCACTTGCTTCTTATGACCATTTGATTGGAAAATCTTTTCCCAACCCTTTTTTTTTTTTTTTTGGTTTTTCGAGACAGGGTTTCTCTGTGGCTTTGGAGGCTGTCCTGGAACTAGCTCTTGTAGACCAGGCTGGCCTCGAACTCACAGAGATCCGCCTGCCTCTGCCTTCCGAGTGCTGGGATTAAAGGTGTGCGCCACCAACGCCCGGCCTTTCCCAACCCTTAACCTTGAGGTAGTATCTGTTTTTTAAATTGAGGTGTGTTTCCCGTATGCAGAAGAAGGATGGATTCTGTCTTCATATCCATTCTGTTAGCTTGTGTCTTTTTATAGGTGAGTTAAGACCATTGATATTCAGGGATATTAATAACCATTGATTGTTGATTCTTGTTTGCTTTGGATCCGTTTTTGGTGGTAGTTTTGCATGTGAGTTTTTTACCCTATTTCTGACTTCTGGTAAAGCAGGATTATCTATTACCCATGTTATTTTGAGTGTAGTTAACTTCCTTGGATTGGAGTTTTCCTTCTAGAACTTTCTGTAGGGCTGGATTTAAGGATATGTATTGTGTAAATCTGGTTTTGTCATAGAATATCTTATTTTCTCCATCTATAGTGGTTGAGAATTTCATTGGGAATAGTAGTCTGGACTGGAATCTGTGGTCTTTTAGTGTTTGCAGAACATCTATCTAGGACCTTCGGCTTTCATAGTTTCCATGTAGAAGTCGGTGTAATTCTGATTGGTTTGCCTTTATATGTTACTTGACCTTTTTTCCTTTGCTGCTCTTAATATTCTTTCATTATTCCGTATGTTTGGTGCTTTGATTATTAAGTGGCAAGGGAACTTTCCTTTTTGGTCTGGTCTATTTGGTTTTCTGTAAGCTTCTTGTACTTTCAGAGGCATCTCTTTCTTCAGGTTGGGAAAGTTTTCTTCAATGATTTTGTTGAATATTTTTTTTACACCATTGATCTGGGCTTCTTTGCCTTCCTCTATACCTATTATTCTTGGTTTGGTCTTTTCACATAATCCCATATTTCCTTGATACTTTGTGTTAAGGATTTGTTGGATTTAAAACTTTATTTTGTCTATGAATCTATTTCCTCTAGATTATCTTCAGTGCATGAAGTCTTCCATTTCTTGTATTCTGTTAGTTATGCTTGCATCTGTAGTTTCTGTTTATTCAGCTTTTCTATTTCCAGCATTACCTCAGTTTGTGTTTTTTTGTTTGTTTGTTTATTGTCTTCATTTCAGTTTTCAGGTCTTCAACTGTTTGAATTGTTTCCTTCATCTGTTTGATTGTTTTTTCTTGGCTTTCTTTTAGAGATTTGTTGATTTCTTGCATTTTTGTTTGTTTTTTCTTCTATTTCTTTAAGGGATTTTCTCATATCCTCTTTGAGGACCTCTATCATTTTCATGAGAGGTCATTCTTTTCTGTTTTATCTGTGTTGGGATGTTCAGGTCTTGCTGGTGTAGAGTTTCTAGACTCTGGTGGTATCATATTGGTTCTTCTGTTGTTGGCTATGTTTTTATATTGCTGCCTTCCCATCCCTTCTTTCAGTGGGAGCTTGTGGGGTCTCTTCCTTTCCTGGTGTGTTTGGGCCTAAGGATCTCTTCCAGTGCATTCAAGCAGGTCAAATACTCCAATAGGTCTCACGATGGGTGCAGGTTAGTCTGAGACACTCTCCAGCACAGGCAGAGACCAGAGGGACTCTAGCACTGAGCAGGGGCTGGAGGGGTCTCTAGCACTGGGCAGGGCCTGGAGCGGACCAATGGCTGAGGTGTGGCCAGAGGCAGGGTGATTCTTTCGGGTGGGGTAGGTCCTCTCTAGGCACAGAGCACACCCAGGGAGAGGAGAGCAGGGGGATGTGGGGAATTGGGGCCCAGAGCAGAGCCCTGACTCACCTAAAGCCCTGGGCAGGCAGGGGCTTGAGGAAAACTGAAGGCTGAGGTATGGCCAGGCTCAGGGTGATTCTGGTCTGGCAGTTCCTCTCTAGGTGCAGGGCACACCCAGGGAGACAGAAGCAGGGGGATGTGGGGAGTTGGGGCCCAGAGCAAGGTCCTAACTCACCTAAAGCACTGGGTCAAATGTTGAAAATATGAATATGATGGAAATGAGAGTTCACCTTGGAATCTGTAGCGTACATGTCCTGTCTTGAGTCCTGTTTGTGTGACAAGGGCAAGCCCATTTGAGATCTGTTCATTTACCATCATGGGATTTTTTGACAGGGTAATTTATATTAGAAAAAATACATTTTTGTTATTTCTAGATCAGATTTTTATTACAAATTCTCATTAAAACCTGAAGATCTCCCCTCCACTTAAGTGCCTGCATAGACTTTCCCTTTAGTGGTAATGTAAAGAAATGAAAAAGAAAAAAAAAAAGATAATGATTGCTGTGGACACATAATTAAAAACAAAGGCCAGTACCCGGAAGTCAAAAGTACCCTGCACTCAACTCTTTCATCCTTCCTTTACTTACTGAATTCTGCTATAATCATAACTCCTTCACTGAGCTAAGGTTGTTGTCTTAAGACAAAAACATAATGGAAAGCAATCAGAAAGCCTAGTTAATGTGTTAGCTATTGAAAAATGTGGATTGGTTTGGTTAACCAAATTATCATCAGAACTGTATTGAGTAAACTTTTACGTGCTGATAATTGCTAAAAGCTCAATGGACTTTTTCATATATTAAATTTAAACAATGATTGTAATGATTTAATAAGTCTATTCAAGAAGATCAACAATTAGATTCAAATATGATTATGTTTGATTCATATAATTTACCAGTTGGCTAATAATGCCAGTTACTGGAATCATGCATCTCTCATAATTAAAA